TATATATCTATATACGCATAAATATATCTATGTATATATCTGTGTTTATATCTATGTGCTTGGCGCGTGTTGCACAAAACGCATCAACTTATCAAATATGCAAATTTATGGATGGACTTCGCGGGCAGAGACTTTCGCCATTTGTCAGACATTGACAATTGAAACTGAAAATAAAATGAAATTGTGCAGACTGCGGATTAAAGTCAGCCTTTCATTGACGAATGACTCTTCCAGTCAACGCAGTTGACCAACATCATTAATTATGCAGCAGTCGTACGAGTCAAGACGAAATCTGCGCCGCAAGGCGCATCTCTTGTGCTTACACAAGGTATTTTGTCACTTGGTCGATCTGAGTCGCTGCACAGTGGAACTGCTTTTGATCTTATTTATCTCAATATTTAACCTTAGCACAGATTGCCCCTAGCTGAGTCGCGATATGAAAACATTTGTCTGCCAAATCAAATGAATTCTCAAAGTAACATTTTTACCTCAACTTCGTCGCATTGTGCCCACTGTTTACGATAAACATTTTAATTAGTTTATCGACGGTTTGTGCTTTTGGCAAAGGTTATTCACATTTCGCTTAGGTGTCCATCATTGCGTTTAGCCTGCAGCCAACGACGTCAAAGAGGCAGGTGAAATTTTGTCTGGCGTGGACTTCGTGCCAATGCAACATTAAAACCGCTGATCCATTTGATCGGCTCCGATAACTGGCAATTGGCGCACCCAGCAAATGGCATTGGAAATGTCTACTTGACCGCACCCAATCGAAGGGCCTGCACGTGAACGAGTACTTGGCTGAGCGCTGCGCTTAGTCAATTGGAAAGCAATTCACCCAGCCCAGCCCAGCTCAGCTCTGCTCAGCTAAAGGAAAATCTGGAGCAAGAGCAGTGCTGGAGACGCTGGTGCGGAGCTGGAGCTTGAGCTGTAGCTGGTCATGCATAAAATATGAGCGTGCTGCGGGCTGCCTGTCAGGCATAACTAAGTTCGCATCGAGCCACACATCCTTTTTTGCTGCCACATGCGCCGTGGCTTGTTTAACGGCCTCGTCATTTTTATCAAATCCGTACAAAATGAAATGCCTCTCCTCAATTGGGTTTACTTCAAAAGCTCATCAAACTCATTACATAACAGTCAGCCAGACCATTTGAAGGGCTGAGAAATTGCCTTTCAAAGCCAGCTGGACACGCGACCCTAGACGAAAACAGAGATGAAGAATAATGTGCTCAACTGAAAGATACTCTTTAATATGTTGACCAACAGAATAGGACTACGCTCGATAGATGCCATTTCGATTTAACTTTATTATAGATAAAGTTAAGAAGGGTTTGACCTTGTTATATATATTGCTTATATATTGATATATAAATATCGAAACTAAGCTTGGAAGTGTTGTCTAAGATTTGCATTAAAGTTAGTATAAAGAGGCTTAAAGCTACCCACAAGTCTCATATATTCAGCTAGCAAAGTCTTTGGGTTCAAAGATATAAATATATTATTTAGATACATATACATAGTCCATACTCTCACAGCTGTAATAATACCTTTTGGTGGGTATTCAAATGGCATTTTGGGTAGACAGCATCAGCTTTATGATGATTATGATGCCTCCTTTGTGCCTCATATGAAATATATATGAGCTTTTTGTCCGCCTTAATGCTGTTCGCTTAAGCAGAAGGCACCCTCATCAATAAGGGGGCAATCGGCTGGCTGTAGGGACTTGCTTGCCAGCTGTGTAAATTAATTGCACAAATAATTTACATAGTAATTAAGCGAGCTTAAACGTTTCATAACACTTCAGTCCACAAACCGTTGCATACTTGAGAGCCGTTGCGCAATTTTGCATATAAATCGAAATGTTAATGCATTACAGCTGATGTCCTAGATGGAATCGCAAATTCCAATTACGTAATGCTCCCGCTTAGATCAATGCCAATGCAGCGCGTTAATTAAGTGAGTAAGCCTAAAGCTAACGTAGCGCATCATTTCCGTTTCCGTTTCGGTTACACATTTTTTTTATCCAAACTCATTTTCAGCATCTACTCTTTGCACACACTTCTCTTGCTTTCTCTCACACACAGAACGATAATGATTTGATATTGGGTAAAGCGAAGGCAACGAGCTTCACACAGACAGACGTAGTTTGGTTTCGCAATCACCGATTGCTAGAGCAGCATCGAGCTGGGCGTACAGTGGGCGGGTTTTCCGCGAAAATTTCAGCAGTTCCATTAGATAATTGCATTGCTTGATGTGTGAAACCGAATAAATGAAAATTGAATACGCCAAACGGATTGCGCACACAAATTCATATTTACATAAAGTGCAAAACTGTAAAAATGTTCATTGATTCAATTAGTCTAACAACACGCAGCTAGACGAGAATTGTTATTTGTTGTGTGGGGTTTTCAGTGGCAACTCAACTGTAAATTGTTTGAGTATAGCTTAATCATTTTTCAGAGTACATTTTCGACACGCAATGCAACACGCATGAATTTATATAAATATATGAGTTGTAGTTATTGCAACAATGTGGATAAAGTTTGTCTGCTGAGTTCAATTCCATCCATGTTTAGAAGTTATAATTATCTCTTAATTTGACGGCTTTCTATAGAGGAGGCTGTCTTAGTCTGTTTTGCTGTTGGAGTATATGAAAATGTAATAAATTAATAGAAATAATATATCATAAACTTCATAAAGCTTGCTTGAAAATCATAAGTTAAATAAATAATTTTCTATTTTAACTTATTAGAATGTTATCAGCTTCAGTCTACCTAAAAGAAATTCAGAAAAAGTGAAAGGCCTTATTCATCTAACTTAGTTGAGCAAGCTTTGTGTATTGAATACGTATAATAATAAAGAATCTTCCGACAGGTTTTGAGGCGTGTTAAATACGAATCGGGAATCAAAATTATCTTTGCAGGCCAGTTTTTTATTATAGGTTCAGGATTTTGTTATAGACAGACACCAAATGGGATTGCCCTTTAAAAAATATAATTTTAATTATTAAAAAGTCTATGTATTGTCTAATGAGTTAGAGTGAGATAGAGTAGCAGTAGCATGTTCTGATTCTTTAAAATTGCTATAAGTTTTGCTGTCGGCATTTAATTAAGTTGGTTTAACAACATAATATATTATAATATAATATATATAGATGAACGAGATGATGAGTCTATTCAGCCCGTCAATATATCTCCTAGTCGCGCACTTCCGACTAGAACGCTCTTGTTGCAGCCATAACTTTTATGCAATGAAGCTAAACAGCATACATCGAATGTCTACATCAAGACTATTAGCTGGTGATTCACTGCTCACAAACCACACACTATTACTAAATACAAAAGAATTAAAATCATATCATAAACGCTAATCAATATCATGTTTCAGCGCCATAATCAATCCGTTAAAAGTAATTCAATCTGTTAAACTTAAGCAGACAAGTTAGTAACGCATAAATATACATTTGTTATTCATTATTTTTGTGATTTGTATAGTAATTTGATCAAGTTATAACCAAACATGGCTAAATACACAATGAGCAATACAATATATTTTAGTTAAGTTGTCAAGCAGACAACTCTCAGGTTTTGCAAGTTGAAAGATCGAGTTAGACATAAAATCATAAAGGGGCAGCGATTAAAAATCAATATAAAACTGCAAACGTTTGTTCGACGAGCGTCTTTTGTATTCCCATAAAGGGAGTGCTAAGCTCTAGACACACGTCTATTGAAACCAACTGAATAATATTATGTAAATGAAATACCAAGAAAAAATGAAAAAAATGGAAAAAATACTAAATTAATACGTACATTTAGTGTGTAAAGGCGCGATGCCACCAGAATGATATATTCAGATATATCTTCAGTTATTTGCATAATTATAATGGCGTGAACAGCGGACAAGTCGCCCCGTTGTCTAAGCCAGGCAAGACTCACGTACATTTATTTAAATATATATTTATATATATGTGTGTATATCTTGTTGGGGTTAAAACAGAACGTGCAAATTATCTCAACAATCTCAACACTCATTGTTTATTTAGTTTGCTTTATGTACGTGGGTTGGGAATTTGTTCGTTACGCACGCTGATCGATTCAACTCGATTGATAAACTTAACTTAATAAGTATAAAGAAGTGAGTGGCGGTTGCTTGCTTTATAGATACCCTATACTAAAAGTAGTTTACTGCAGTTATACATACTTCTATATCAAATATGTATTACCTAAACCACCTCTAAGATACTCTCGTACCGAAGATAATCAATTCTTTATCTGTAACATAAAAAGTTCTTAAACAAATCAGATTTCTAGCTGTTATCATTTGTATAGCTATAAGCCTTTATAGTAGCGCTCTCACATGTTAATCAAAGCCATCTAAGGCTACTGTATGCTATAATAAATATGCCCACTTAGATCTAGCTCTTTTGGTCAGCGCCCAGAGCCAGTTTGCTGCCGCAGCTCTTTGAGAATAGTTTAAATTTAGAAAAGTGGCTAAGCTTTATGATACCCTTTTGCACCACATCTAATGAGTATGGGCTATAAAGTGGAAACAAAGCCAAAACAAGATCAGGCTAAACTTAAGTTAAAGTGTAAAAAGTCCCAAAATAGAGAGGAAAAAAAACAATGATCAGAAGATAAATATTTGCATAAATCACGTGCTCCGCTGGCAGCATTAGCAAAAGAATTAACTTTTAAAAATAAAGCGACAGCTGCCAGCTAAACAAAGACAGAGAGATGAGTAGAATGATAGAGAAAGAAAGAGCGAGAGCGAGAGATCTAGCTGAAGATGGAGATGGAGATGGCTTGTATCTAGCACCGGTTGGAAATTTATGTAAATGCATTTGCGGTGGCCCGTGAACTTGAAGCCGAAACTTCGCCTCCGGATTCAGTTGTCGCGCAACTGCTGAGGCAAGCGAGTCGGTGAGCGAGTGTATTGCGTTGTGTCGGGAGTATCGAGTATCGAGTACTCAGCAGCAAGTAGCAGGTGTCGAGTGATATTCAATCATGGCTGGGAACATGTACAGGACGTGCCTTTGTGTAAGTGGAGCTGGCAAACAATATGCCAATATATGGAATGTAATTTCTCTTCCAGCTGATAGCCTTGCTGCTGGGCATTGCATGCGCCGCCAGTCCCGCCTACATTCCCCGCCAGACGGCCAAGAAGAGGCCGACACAAAGCGGCGCCTACTACTATAATCCGCCAAGTCCGGCGACCATGGCGGCACTGCGTCGCATCATTCAGGGCCACCTGCAGCGCTTTCAGCTGGCTGACAGGCAGCGTGCACAGCAATGGCAGCAGGGCAGGGTGGATATGCAGCTGCAACCGTATCGCAAGCAGCAACCTGCTGGGGCTCCCACACATCTGAGCTTCGAGTTTGCCGTGCCACCGAATACGCCGACGCCCAAGAACTATGCGATGAACTTCCTGCCGGAGGGCAAGGATGTGGCACCCGGAACTTCCTACATACCGTTAAAGCTGCTGCGGATACGACGCTGAATCAACATGATTAAGCGAGCGAGACCGAAACAGAGAGCGAGAGAGAGGGAGAGACGTCGGCATCGTCTGTTATTCAAATGAGCCGAGGCAATGGAAGTTGGAATGCCGTTCTCTAAGAGCAGCCGGTAAATGAGGTTAATTTGTTATAATCCTACTGGTTGTTATATAATTTAACGATACATGTATATATTTAAATATAATGAGCATAGTCTAAGCATTCCATATTCTAACTTAAGTTCAAGCCAATTTGTGGACTGAAGCAAAACCAAAACACAAGGCATAACTCTGAGTTACGGCCTTTTTTAATTTCAGCCTCCAAATTGCGGAATTAGATAAGAAACCGAATTAAATAAATAAAGCCACGCATAGCTCGTAATGAAACACACACAAGATACATTCACCAAAATTAACTTTGTCATATCATTTACATAATTTAGAAGCGATAAATTAAAACGCACCAAAAACTAAAAACAAAACAAGTAAGAAAGCTCTAGTCGGGGTGCCCGACTAGGAGATACCCTGATCCCAGTCCTTTGAGTTTTGTAATATTTTCCGTAGTTTGTATCGAGTATTAAAAAAAAAAGAAAACAAATAAAAATCGACATTGCGAGACCAGGATTCGAACCCGGATTATTTGCGCAACGTGCACAAACTCTACCAACACCGCCACTTCATAACTAAAAAAAAAAAATAAATAAATAATATAAAACAATAAAAAACATTTCATCTCCTCTGGTCTCGAACCCGGACCAAGCTGCATCCGAGAGGTGCCTCTACCAACGCAGCCACTGCCCTTCTTACGCGAGCTGTTGCAAATTTGAACATAAGTAGCAGCTAATAATTCAGCACAATTCAATCGCAATTTCAATTCTTGGAATAGAAAAGTATACACGCATTTGAATGTATGTGTGCACACGCATAGGAAAAATGCGTGCGCGTGGCGCTGCTGACATGTGCTTTTGCAAATTGGCCAAACGTTTTGTTTAATAACTTCTGTTTTACTTAATGGATTTTAATGAAATTTTCAGCATATGATCTACATATCCTATTGGCTTGGTTGAGATGCAAACGCCTTCACATAATGGCCCTAGTTCCAACTAAACTTAAATTCTAAGAATTTGGGGGAATTTGGAGCCGGTATCCAAAATCCAACAAAAATCAAAATTGCATAAAATATACATAACACTAAATACAAAATTTGGAGGCTCTAGCTCTTAAGACGTTCGAGATATAATTTATTTACTGCATTTCAATAATGTTTTTATTCGATAACAATTAAATGCGAATAGTTATCGAATATTTGAAACAAACTTGACCTGCGCGTGCTATACACGGACCTACAAAAAAAATTTCAAGTCTCTAGCTCTTATAGATGCTGAGATCCACGCGTTCACACATACGGACAGACGGACAGACGGACAGACGGACAGACGGACAGACGGACAGACAGACAGACGGACAGGGCTCAATCGACTCGGCTTGTCGTCCTGATCAAGAATATATATACTTTATGGGGTCTGCCACGCCTCCTTCTGCCTGTTACATACATTTGCACAAAACCATTATACCCTGATTTCCCATTTTTAATGGGATCAGGGTATAAAAACCAAAAAAATAAACGGCCGACAAAAAGCGGATAAAAATGTAGAAAAAGACAAACTGAACTCGAAAATTGCAATAAATCGCTTTATAAGGCCGCGATTGGATATGGTGTTACAGATAATAGACTAACAGTGTGTCGAAATCTCGTTGGTCAAAAACAATCTAATACTTAAAAGTTCAAAATTCATACATTCGTTTCAAATTCATGACGACTAAGAACAAGTCTGGTTCAGAATTTTTTGCCCGTTGTCGACACACCTAAACCACTCTATTTGATTATGAGTATATCACCTGAAACATAAAAATAAAGGTATAATTATATTGGCTGCATATGTAAATTGCTAGTTTAACTAACGCCGAACACATTTGCATAATATTTGGCTGCTTCTTCTGCACTGAAAAGGTCAAATACAGTTTTGTTTAATTGTGCACAATTGTTCAGTGAGTCTCAAACTTTGAAACCGGTTTGACGCACAGCTAAAACAATTGAGCGCTGTGTGCATTGGATTGTGTCTTGACTAATGTGTGCTTTTGTGTCATGACTAAATGATTCATAGCTAAAAGCGAGTTTTTAAAGCTTTTGTTTGTGCTTCAATAGGTGTTTTGAGTGAGCTAGCTATGTATTAAGCTTGATTTTTTATATACATATATTTATATATATTTTGTACATAATATTTTAATATCTATTTTAATATATATACATATATATTTAATTATTGCCAAGAGTTTCTAATGAAAATGATTATACACAAGGTGTTCTCTAAGCTTAGATTTTATTGATTCTGTCAGCTAATTGAGCTGAAGCTGCTGAACTTTGCTTTCTTAACTCTTCAGCAATTACTAGAAATATTATTCAATCTATGAGCTCATTCAATTTACTACAACTTAAAAATACTTGCAAAACACTTTCTATAAAGTTTTTCTACAAAAAGAAATTCAAACGGACTTCACTGAGGATTGGGTTCTTCTAGAAGTATTGCTGGACGAAGTGGACATTGACTGCGGCTCCGCACTTTGCATATTTATTTTCATATGCTGCGAACAAATAAGGGTCAGCCAAGCGTGTCGATTTGAGGCATTCAAAAGCACAAAATAAACAAAGAGCACAAAGCCTTGCAACGTGGCGGTGAGACAAAAGAGATACGAGAATATAATGCCCAGGCGCATATAGCTGCACAGGCCAAAGATCCAGGTGAGGCCCAGCAGAAAGAACAGCAGCACAGACAGACGCAGCTGCTGTATAATTAGCTGGCGTCGTGGATTGAGGGCACGATGAATGCTGTAAATGATGCAGAGCATCATAAAGGCATTGGCAAAGGTTACCAAGGCGATGGGCAGCACTACGCCCAGAGCCAGGCCATAGCCAGAGGGATAGCACAAAGCCGCTTTGCTTTTCAACTGTTGCTGCGAAGGCTTAAAGGACTCGCCGTCCAGCAGGACGACCAAGAACGTGGGCAGCAGTGGCAGCGTCCAGGCCACCACGGCTGAGATGAGTATATAATGACTGGGCCGGGCCACGCCTATCACTGTAACATAACGCTGGAACTGCAGATAGGCTATAATCAGCATCCAGCTGAAGACGACCAGCACAGAGTACTGTAGCACAGCGCCCGATATCAGGCAGCGATTCCAGCTCTGCTTCAGCGGTAATTGCTCTGCGCCCAGATAGCCAAACAGCAGCAGCTGCAACGCCAGAGCCAGGCAGAGATGAAGTAGCACCTTGGTGGATGCCTGACTGCGCCATTTCTTAACGAGCGCCGCAGTTAAAAATATGAAGAGCAATCCGAACAGCGAGAAGCCGCAACCCACTTGGGTGATCGTGTCCAGCAGCTCTTCATGCGTCGCCTTCAACTGCAGGTTCGATTCATCCGCCGCCTGTTGGGCGTAGCTGCCGCCTATCAGAAAGGAAAACTGCGTCAGATGCTGTGCCTCGCAGAGCACGTTCAGCTCCTCGCCACTGCCGCCGCAGGTACTGACCCCATCACTGAGCCACCTCTCATAGTTCCAATAGCCGCAATGGCTGCCCTGGCTAGCGACTTCTGCATGTGGTAGCAAAAAGGGCAGAGGAGCAGGCAGCTGAACTCCTACAGGAATTGCGGGATTATTAGCCAAGCGACAGCTGAGCTAGACTTCGCTGAACTTACCCTCGAAGCCGGGTATCGATATGGACAGCACTTGACTACGTGGCCTCTGACTGCGCTGCTGAGCTCTCTCCACGAAGAGTCGATCGTGAGCGTAGACCTTGAGTATTAGATACGAGGCGCCTCGTTGCTTCAGCTGCTGCCACAGCTCTTCCGGCAAGTAGGTGCCCGTCTGCAAGTCTCTCTCCCTTCTCAGATGCGCCAAGCTCTCATTGGCATAGAGAAAGCGATACCAAAAGCCGCTATTGGCAGATCTTCGATCTTCTGCTGATGCTGAATATATAGCTATTCCAGTGATATTTTCACATTCCGGATTTACATAGAACACGCTCAGATTGCTGGTTATCAGCGCCTGCACGCCCAGCTCCGCGTAGTTAGCTGTTTCCACAGCTCTTCCCCCAGATTTTTCCTCCTCAGCTCTGAATTGTCCACAGCTCTCGCTGGGCACCAGCTCTCGCGGCAGGGCATTCATATAATCCTCGAACTTGCTCAGCAGCGAGTTGGTTGCGTTCAGCTCCGCTGACAGCCGCAACACTTGCTCATCGCTTGACATGATCTCGTGACAAATGCTGACCAGATCCGTGCTTCCAGCTGCCTGCGCCTGCTGCTGCTCCAGCAGCTTTGTAAATATTTGCGCCGTGCTGTAGACATCAACTGGAGCGAGCTGCCCTCGTGACTGGCTTAGTAAATGCCGTAGCTTGGTCAAGGCGATCGTTTTGCAGCTCACATTCTGGATATCTTCCTGCAGCTGATGTAGCTGCCTGCTCAATTGGTTGCCAGCGTCACAGCTGATATTCCCAAGATCCGCCCACTGAGCACTTGCGTTGCATAGTCGCCGCCAGGGCAGACCCTGCTCATTCAAGCAGAGATCACGCATGCTCGCCCACTCACCAGCTCGGGTGCTTGCAAAATGATTCAAATGCGGCTCAAAGCTGACGTTGCCAGCTGCAGTCAATACTTTGTAGATATGTTGGAAATTCTGCGCCTCACAACGTGCCACAGGCACGACCTTTTCAGCAGGCTTCACTGTACTGCTCTGGCTTCTAATCTGCCACTGTTGCTGTGGAAACAGCTGTACGCTTCGCCAGGTGGTGCTCGGCGTGAGACGCACATGCCCCAGACTGGGCCACAGCCCAGCGAAGAGTAAACAAAGCTGCCAAAGCATTTCGCCGTCTGGTTAATTACTGCGACACATGATTTAAGCCCGCTAAGCTGCCAAAGTATTTAAGCTGTTTAAGCCAACGTGTTGTTGTGTTCAGCTCGCGCCACGTTCGACTGTCGCGTCTGGCTTGAGCTCGAGCTTGAATGGCATCACGACTTGAGTTATTCGAAGTCATAAATTTGTGCCCAAGATGCGCTTATCCGCATTACGTAATTACTCACCTGCTCATTCATAAATAAATTCATAAATACTTTCAATAAACATATATATGTAACGACCTTTCTCATTGCTGACTCTACCAAGAAAAACTCAAGTTCAAGTTCGATCGGTAGCTGCTCAACGTCAAAACAACCAGCGAGCATCTCCTCGCCCCTCCATTTCAGCAGTTGCTCAAGCCGTCTATAATTTCTATAATATATTGAATATTGAATAGCAGCAGCAGCAACAGCGCCTCGGCTTGTCGACAACTTCTTCAATATTTTCGAAAACCTCTCGACAGCAGCTGTCGAAATTTTATTTTGATTTGTTTTTTTCCCTCTTTCGGGCGGTCAAGTGTGCCAACTAGTTGACTTTTTATTTGTCTTGAGGCTACTCGAATTTAATTAATAGACCAACATCTGGCTCAAGTTATTTAAATCAACAAGAACACATGCGACGCTCACATTAATCTTGCAAGCTTTTCGTTTATAATTATATCAACACACTAAACTCGAATTTAGTTATATTACTTTAAAACCAGAAATCTTAATTAGATCACATTCCGACTTGGCAGTTGACTATGAAATATAGAAATGATGCAGAAGACGGAATATTCTTTGCTCAGCTGCAAACGGATTATCGATATAATAGAATTATAGCCATGATTCGTCTTTAGCTTTGAAATTGGCATACCGGAAATAAACTCTGATTTTGGCATCAGCAACAGGGAAGACAAGAGAGAGCCGAAATTCTTTGAAGATGCCGAATTCATTGTGTTATCCATGCCAGATGAATGTCAGATGCATGCCAGAGATAGGAGAAGTTTGAACAAATCTGGTTAAAAGTGTGTTAATGATCTGGATAGGTTATATAAGGTAAGGGTATTAGGTATAAGTATCAGGTCGAGTCAACACGTAGAACATAAAATAGCTCGAAAAGGTCTGCCATGAGCTGCCTCAGCCGAGAAAATCTCTCAGAGCTGAGCTAATCTAATTCCAACCCATTTACAACTAACTGATCTCTGCTTATGGAATGCTACAATGGAATGTGGCTTACATTCATTATCATCACGCACACTACGATTCTCATGGTCTGGGTGAACAGCGCCTCACTAAAAAGGAAATCCTAAAATTAAGTCAATTCTTGGATCATCTCAAAAAGACAATTTGTTATCTATTCGAAAACTTCTTGCCCTCTAAAATGAGATGAACAAAACATTCAATAAAGTAAATTGATTGAATTGGTTTGAATAATATTTAAATCTTATTTATATATACAAATTGTTAGATAGATAACGCTTATTAGAAAACTACATTTGCTTTGCATTTTTATTCATAGTTTTGCCTGCTTATAATTTGCCTTGTTTCATTGCTCTTCTCACATGAGAGCTTTGTGACTTCAATTCTGAAATTTTATATATTTTGGAACATGTAAAACTCCACAAGTCATCCTCATTAAAGCATGTTATATGCTGACTCGACAAGAATGAATGCCAACTAAGGATGCACTCGACTGTTGTTTCGGTTGCTGTTGCTCTACGATACCTCGATACCATCTGCCTCTGGCCATTTGGCAGGCAGCTGCACATTTGCATAGTTGTTGCGTTTTGCAGTTGGTCAACTGCAGTTAGAAGTTCTGTCGTACATATTTTTCTGCTCGAGTCAATATATCTGGGTGGCCTGCAAAAATTGCGGAATATTCAAATATTTGTGCGACGGCAAAGTATGGAACGGCAAAGGTGAGCATCGAAATGCAATAAATGTGCTGAAGCGCAAAAGAATTTCATCAAAGCGAATAACGTGCGTCTGTGAGAGTAAATAAAATATTTGCTCAGCTCAAATGATTGGCAATTCAAATCGAATCTTTTACTTTAAACTTTGTGCTAAAATGCAATTTGAGAAAAGCAAATAACAGTCGTGGCAGGTGAGTACAAAATGTCATTTGCACATTTTATTAATTATCATAATTTAATATTCATTTAAATAGCTTGATTAAAAAGTTGAGCGTAAAAAAGTGAATGGAAAACTATTTTTAGTATGAATCGTTTTGATGCTCGAAGCGGAAATATCCTGTAAATAAAGAGTAATATAGAGACAGATACTGAGACAGAGACAGAGGAGATAGTAAGTGAGAGAAATGTATAAAGGAAATGGAAGAGTAAGAATAAGAAGAGTCAGAGTAAGAGTAATAGTAAGAGCTTGACAAAGAGAATGAAAATGAGAATGAGGAAGATGAAAATAAACAGAAAGAGTGAGAGAACAAGAAAATCATATGGAAAGAGGATGAGTATAAGAATGAGATAGATAGAGATAGATAGAGAGAGTGCTATCAGAATACATTAAAACTTGTGTTAAGTACAGATGCATGCATAAGTCTAATACTTAAATCATACATCTCTTCTATGGGGATATTATCAGCAACTGAAATAACTATATTTCAGAGTCATAGAAAATACCCTAAGGTATCAGAGTCTAAGGTCACCCTATAATTTGTAACTATTTGTTTCTTTAAAGGTTTGTTGTTTAAAGACAACTTGATTCTGATAAAAACAAAACCAATCTAAATTATCTAGTAATTCTATTAGTTTATCATATTTACTATATTACTATATTTTACTATATTATTATTACTATATTTAATATAGTATAAACCTTATAATATTTTTTACCTTATGTACTATCTAGATATGTCATTACCCTTTTTATTTAAGCTGTTTTTTTTGCAGTGTACAACAATGATAATAATTTTAAGTATTTAATCTGGTATTTACCGCTTGAAATAGTTTTTGCATTGTGAATTTATGTTGCAGCAGCTGCAATCGCAAAATACAATTTTCATGTTAATCGAATTAAATTCTCCGACATGTTAATTAAATTCTTAAATGCCTTAATTACAATTATGATGATAGTAAAAATGTCATTGTGCGAGCATTTGCTTGATTGACTGATTGATTGATGAGTAAGCAGTGAAAAAGTATACACAAAGAGGTCAAGCAGCTGCTTAGTGAAGCGAAACTCTAGCAATGTTCTTCTCAATCAGATAAACAGTTGTTTCTCTCGTCTCGAATTGCATCTAAATGCAATTTCTCTCTGTCGCTGACTCTGTCTCTGTCTCTGTCTCGCGCTCTATGACTCCAGCGGGTTAGAAGTGAGCTGGAGGTGATAGCAGCCATTAGACTGCGCATCTCGGCTGGCTACAAAGTTTCCTTCACCGCTTTTTTGGGTCTCTGGGAAGTGCGCTGCCTGCTTGGTTGGTTCCACTTCAGGAACTTATTTACTCAAGTGTGATGCGATTATCCTCGCGGCGCTTGTCCTATGTTTCCATGAGCAACTGCAGAAGAGCTGGGCACACAATCTGAATACCATTATTGTCAGTTGGTTTTGTGTGCGTTTGGTTCGTAGTTGAACTTCTTCACTACGCTTCTTGTTTGTTAATTAAATGTCAGACAGATTGTCATCTTTGCGGCGAGCAGTTGATTAGAAAAACTAAAAAGGTTTCCTTCCCAAATCGCAGGGTATCTATTGGGGTATGCTAGCTACAGCAATTACATTTTTGTATTTACTTTCCTCGAGAGCTCTTAGCTTGACTCTGTGTTTGAGCAGCAGCTGTAGTGCTTTCTATTTCTATTTCAATTTCAAGGCAAGGCAGGTTAGGGTATTTTATTTGTGGGTAACGTCTGTTTGGCTTTGACTTTAATAGACTGCTGTCTGCTGCGGGCGCTAATGCCCAAGCCATACCTGGCTACACTTTCGCTATTCAAGGCTCGTTCTATCAGTGTCAACGGCATTGTCAGCCTGCCAGCGGCAGCTCCTTCGTTGGCCTTATGCCGACATTTATCAGACATCGCAGCTGACTTTTGTTGTGGTCTCTGCGGCTGCACTTGCAGCCTTTCAGCACAGTCTTAAATAAAAGCTGAATTAAAACAAATAAAAATTGTTGCAGGTGCTTTGCTTATGACCGTTAAATACTCTGTTGCTGTGAAAAAGAGTTTAGTCTGGAACTGCACGGATGCAGTGTCTAAATTGATGTCTTCATGTGTCAGATATAAATTATATTGTGCTAAGATCTTAGATAACTTAAAATAGAAAATTATTGAAGTAAAATGAATGCATGTGAAATGTCGACACAATATTTATTATTAATTTTTAATGTGTCAATATCGTTTGCTAAATGCCTAAGACTTCTAAGCAATTCAACTTAAGCCTTAGCAGTGCCATCTATGGCTCAGTAGCCAAAGCCAACCAGAAAGGGAGAGAAAAAGAGTCTTCGTGAGAGCGAGCTTTTCGGCAGCTTTTATTCGTAAACAGCTGAGCGTGTGCCTGGCATATTGACTAGCGGCTGGCAGGCGACAGGAGCTGCCACCAGCCAGCGCGTTAGTGGCTGTTGGAAAAGCGCACACAAGTGTCCTGGCGCCAGCTGCGCTGTTCTTTAATATAACAAGCATCAAGCGGCGGCTGCTCAGTCGTCGATGGCTGTTTCAAGCTAACACTGTTCAAGCATTGCGCTCGCACAACCTGAGCAAAAGGCTATTCAAAGAAGGCTCGCGCGCGCTTCGCTTATCACAGAGCCCAGACCAAATGCGAAAGTTGTGAGTGAATGAGTGAGTGAGTGTTTGTGTGTGTGTGTGTGTGTGTGCTTGCGTGTGTGTGTTCCAGGATGTTGTTTGGCGAAACTGAAGTGAAAGTCAAATCTAAAATACAAAACAAATAAATCACAAGCCAAAAATAAAACAAAGGCCCGGAGTGAACGAATATATTAAAGTAAATAGAGCGGCGCAAGCAAATCGCTAAATAATAAAAACAAAAATACAAAAAAACACATAAGAAATATGTGAGAATCCCGCCAACGGACTGAGTCGATGCGGCGTATGCGCAACGCTTTTCTGAACAAGAATTAAAGCATACTTTTGAGGGCTCTAATTTATTTCGGTGCGCATATTTCTGTCGCTATTGTCTCTATCAACTGATGGGGCGGCAAGGGGGCGTGTCATAATTTATGTTTTACGGTTTCTTTTTTTTTGGTTTGTTTTTGTCTTTTTTGGTGTTCACGAATAAAGAAAAAATTACAATGGCACAAGTGGACAAAGCGTTGGAACAAAACGAATAGAAATATTTGCCTCAATATGTCAAAGTTTATTAGACATTTGGCTTTGCGTGCCCGCGGCAATTTGTGGACAGTTGTTGCCAGTTGTTGTTGTGGCTGTTGCTGCTTTCTGGCTGGCACGGATAGTAAAACGTCCATTAGTTTTGATAAATGTTTGCCCAGTTGAACATACAATTGCCCAATTGGACAACTGGCCGCGCAGCACGACCTAAGCTGCCGCGGCTGGGGCTGTGGGCTCATTATGAAATGGGCTTCGGACCACTGTCCGGCCCATCATTTACTTAGTTACTGCACGTTTAGTGTCAAATTGACAGACAATTTGTGTGCAAATAACGAGCAAAAATATCATTTCACTTAAGTAATATTCGCGTGTTAAACACTTGCTTGCATCATTTGGTTGACAAACCGTTCTGAGGGTGCTTCCTACCATGCCTGAATGCTCGCTAAGTCGGTCCTGCGACATTGTCATTGCTTAAGCCACAACAACGAGTTGGCAGCTCCCGAAGACACTCGAGAATGAGTCGCACTTTGCTTGCCCAAGGAGCTACCATTTCCCAAAATGTTCAAATGTTTCACGTAATTAAAATTAGCGAAATTGGAAGCCACTTGAAATGGGTTCGGCGCCTGGTTTGCTTGTTTAGTTGGCTGGCTGGCAGGTGAAGTGCGACCTCATTTGCCGTACTAAACTCGTCCGATTAATATGCAATAAACGCCCAAATCAGTTAGCAGAAGTGACTCAAAGCAAACAACTGCGCCGAGCGCCGAGCGATAAGCGATAAATGTGACGCGGGACCAAAAGCAAAAGTTAAACAATGAGACACAGCTCTGACTAAAGCTGAAATTAGTACAGAATATAAATATATCTAAATATATATATGAACTCTGTATAAATATCCGTGCTCGTGCTATGCACCTTAACGAACGCGCTAATGGCACACACAACTTACACACACACAACCAAAAGATAAAAATCAATATTTTAACTTGGGCCTTAAAAAACTTGTTAAACTTTTGCGGCCGCTCCAAAGGGCATTCGTCTTAAAGTTGACTTGGCAAAACGGGGCATATCCTTGCAAACAGCTAAGCGTGCAGCAACGACTTTCTCTTCTTCTCCGTCCTATTCGCCTTCTTCTTATTGCTACCCAGTTGCATGCCCCAAAGTGTGCATTTCGCAGCGTTGCTGCTGGCTTCAAAATGGGCGACGCCTTAATTGCCGCACACTTGGCGCGGCGCATAAATTTTGGTGCTACGCTTGACTTGCTATACACACACATACACATTTGCCCATCTAAAAACATGTGTGTGTGTGTGAGCGCGCGAGTTTGTGTGTGTAATTAAACAGCGTTCTGCATCCTTTGTGCCGCTTGTTGTTGCCATTTTAGCTGCTTCTCGCATGCCTTTGTTGTGACCCAGTTGTGCTGGCTACGTGTGCGCCTTTGGCAGTTGCACGTGTTGCATGTGGCATGCAACAAACAGCCAGGCATGCAATAACAGCTGCAATAAGCCGCCAGCAAACGGAAGAATACATATAGCTACCAGTTACCAGTTGCCCACTAGCAGCTAGCAGCTAGCAGCTCCTTAAGAGCTCACTCGCAGTCATTGGCATATTTGATTAGCATTTCGTTCTTAAAAAATATAAGTAAGAAAGAACCAAAAATGGTGAGGCGTGGTCTCCTGACATATGTAAGAGGTGGCCAGGGCACAAAATAAATAAAAGCAAAGGCCAACAAAATTTAAAGCGACGCGAATACGAAACGAAACAAAACGAAACGGAACGAGCGAAACGAAATGCAAAGCTGAAAACATTGTTAAGCCGATTTCAATGTATAAATTCATGAAATATTCATGTCCTTTGTGGCATTTCTGCTGTCATCTGAGTAGCCCACACAAGTCCTTACAGCTTGGCCAAAATCTTGCCGAACTTCAACTCAAATATTAAACCCAAAAATATCAACAAATAATCTTAATATCTAACTTAAACATGTGCAGCTCTCAACTCTAGCTCTGTGAAAAAGGCTTCAGATGCTTAACTGAAATTGCTTTAAGTTCAGTAAATATGAAATATTGAAGACGTTATGAATAGCATTTGATAAACAGCAATTTGTGCAAGTGAATCTAAAACGCCAGCAAAACACTTTTGCATTTCAACAGAGACCAAAACTCAAACAGCCGGCCAAAATGGTAAGTTAGGGTATTCAAAGTGCACTCGAATCGAAATTGAATGTGTGCATGAATAGACACCAAAACTAACAATTTATAGAAATATTTAATTGATAGCTCAACTAAAGTGATAAATTACATTTTTATAGCTGCAACCAAATTCCAAAATATATCCACAGTAAAATAAGGGAAAACAAAATAAGCAAATGGAATTTTTGGAAGCAGGCAAAATATTTAGATAGTTGATCGAATTCATAAATATTTGATTGATGTAGAATAATATTTTGATGGATGATTATGAATACAAGCAGAATAATAAAGGGGGGAAAATAAAATATATGAAAGCATTAAACATTAAATATTACAAAAAACCAAAAAAATTCTTGTTATTTTTAATTATTTTATAGAAATTTAATTTGATTGAATTATAGAAGAAATTCTGCCTAACAAATATATATGCTAAACTGTTCTTTATAGTGCTGTTTGACTGTAGTTAGAGAAATCATTTCAAGTTAAGTTAGCAAAGCAAAAAGAAAATGAAACACAAGACATTTCATTTAATAAACCTAATTCTCAAATACGTCGACGTATGCAGATTTTATGACATAAATCAGAATAAATAAAAATGCGAAAAAAGTCTTTAAAGGCCTTCGGTGGAACAAATTAAATGCCAAGGACAATGATAAAATTCAACTTGCCAAGAGTATCAACTCAATGACAAGGCAAACAAACTTCACATGTTGACATGCTACACTCACACACAGAGAGAGAGAGAGAGAGGCACTCACACACAGACATATCAGCAGCGTTCCTCATTTAATGATAGCGATTGTCGCATTTCTTCACATGCTTTTCCATTCTATTTTTAAATTACGTCAAACTGGGAAACACGTAGAATTGTTTGGCTCTAGTTGTTGTTTATTTAGATTCGATGTTATTGCTTGCGTTAATGCTGGAACATTTCAATATATGCACAACAAAGGCAATAAACATCAAATATCGGTTAGATATATCTTCATCAGGCGGCTAACAACAGTAACAGCAACAGCAGCTCATGTACTGTGGCCCACTAGACGTATGCGTAATGTATGTAAATATATTTCAAGTATTTTCCTGGCTTGCTTTGCATCACTTCCGGCGGAAGCGATTGATTGTGCGCCATCTTGCAATGCTCTATGGGCATGTAAGAGTGTTCCCTACTCTCTCTCGGTCTCTCGCTCAGTGTGGGGCTTGATTTCGCATAACAAATCAAATTGATTGCTCGTCGGATACATTTAAAAGAAATGAAATGCGCAATCCTTATTGATTTCACATTTTTAACAACAATTCGCAGAGCCCCAAACATAAGCCTCAACGAGTTTTTCATCATACTTTGATATACATTTTTTGTATATTTTCATTATTCTTTTTTTTTTGCCCGGGTCCATTTTATTATCACTTTATTCCGCCAGCGAATGTAATTAAAATGTTAGCAGCATTCAATTTAGCTGGCACTTTTATGATTTCATTTTGAGTGGCCATAAAAATGTTTCTGTAATTTCTGAGAGTCCGCCAGTTAAATTTCGGCATTCAGATAAATGAAATCCAGATAAAATACTGTACACGATTATATATTAGGCATTAACATGTAACTGTCCCATAATAATATGATATTATTATTCCTACTTGCAGTATGGCTTTGTTAACTACGCCCTGGAGTTGCTGGTGCTCAAGCATTTCGGCGAGGAAATATGGGAGAAGATCAAGTAAGTAGCGCCAACAACTGCGCACAGACGAAAGCTCATTAGAAGCGGCTAATGCGAAAACTAGCTTCGTCCTAAGGCAGAACTTGGCATATCATCAGAAATTAATGTGCGACTTTTATTTTGCGCCACGAAACTAAGACAAGTTTCCCAGAAACAGAGGAACAAACAGTTGGAAATGGGTTTCATTGTGTTGTGGGCAAAGCGGAGAAGTGGAAGTCTTGATTAACATATTGTATTATGCAGAAGTTCATTAATTTTCTTACGGCAGCAAACGTATTTATGAAGATATAGATGCAAATGCTGGCAATTATTAGCACGTCGTATTTTTAATGTAAAATGGCTAGAGCTTGAGTTTGAAGGGGTGACAAAGAAGTAGCTTGGACAAAAATTAGTAAGCATTACAAATGTAAATTAAAGAAAGCCCTTTCTAATTAAGTCCGCAAAGCAAATTCTTTTGATACAAAATACCAAAAAAAATTTTTTTAAAATAAACAATATCATTGTTATGACTATAATTATTAAAAACTAAAGAATATAAATAATAATAGTAGAATGATATAAATATAATGGTAAATAAATGGTAATAAATAATGATAATGATAATGATAATTATAATTTAAAAAATAATAATAATAATGAACTAAAATAATAATGATACTAACAATAATATAAGCGATATGAGTAATATTTATGATATTAAAAACAATTATTACAAAAGCCGTACTAATAGCGATAGTTAATGTTATTAGAACAAAGAAAGACTTAAACAAATGACAGTGGTCTAATAGCTAACGACTTGCTGAAATGAATCCCTCATGACACACAGCCAAGCGCATAAACACTTTGCTAACTGCCGGAAGTGTGTGAAAACAATTGAGTGTACGTGTGTGGGTGTGTTCGTGTGTGTGTCCATGTTATTTATTTACTATTCAATTGGTGTTGGTCTGGCCTCAGGGCTGCTGGTATCATTTCAGTTTGAGATGCCTTTGCAAACTGGCATTGCGCCGCATTTAATTAATAACTAATATAAACATAAATTTATGCGCAATTGTGTGCCAAACACTAACCGCAATTAACTAATTATCCATTTTTCACATGGCTGGAACGTGCTGCCACGCCCACGCACAAGAGTACATAAATTAGTTGTGTATATATGTGTGTGTGTGTGTGTTGTCAGTGGCACATAAACAAAGCAAAACACGCGTCGCATTAATGTTAACAACGATTTGTGGGCCTAAATGCAGCGCCAGAATTAACGGATATCCGGCCAAAAATGTCTGTGTGTGTGTAAGAGTGTGAGGTGTGTTCGTGTGCGTGTCTGTAGGCAAATACATTTCGCATTTATCTTAATTAAGTTATTGATATTGCGTGTGTATTTGCTGAGCGCCCGTTTGTGCTCCTGTTTTCTCCTTTTAGAAGTCATGGCTGTTCCTGAGTCATGCGCTAATTTCTCCTGCCCCTTTCATAAGTCAGCCATTTGGTCTTTGCGGTCTTTTTGGCAGGCAACTTGGCAACCAGTCGCCCGTCACCCGTCTCCCGTGCATGACGTCAGTGGCGAGAAGCTCTTGACGTTGCTAATTGAGCAAGATTTATGATTTTTGATTGCCTAACCGCAAGTCAGCTGACTAAAGAACTTGCGGCATTAACTTGGCCAACAGCAGAAACCCTTTTAATTATCTACATGAAAGGCAACAAGCGATTCAGCCAGAAAGGCAACTTTTCTCATTTGTTGAGAGAAAACGCGCTCAGCTTAACCCCAGCCTAAACGTCTGTCTGCCAATGGTGCTGCCAATGACATGACTTTAATTACATTGCAGCCAGTCGGCGTTGGCAGTGGGCAATCAGTGCAGCAGCAGCAGCTGTGACTGTGGCATTCCGTACAGCACTGGGGCAGTGTGGAAGTGTGGCAGTTGGCAGTGGCAAGAGCCACACTTATTATACTGCCACTTGAGGCGCCCAGCCATTGGCATTGACGTTCGCCCACACTTGAGTCAACATACACACAGACAGAGAGAGATAGACTCAAGCATATTCAATTGGCGCTGGACGCGTGTCGTGTTTTCTTTCGATTCCAAGAACTAGGTCTAACTTGGCACTTGGTGTTCGTGTCCTCAACAGGTAAACGAGTGCAATAATTGAACACGATGATGCATGTTGAGTAATGTAACTAAAGGAATACGGCACAGCATATTTAAAATACCATAAAGTGTCAGCTCATGCGTATACGTAATATAAATGTTAGCCCGAAGTGCTTAAAATTTGTATACTGCATGCTTAAAAGCAACTAAGTTAACAAATACGAAAATTTCTTTAAGCCTACGAGTTTGTCTAACAGGACAGCACTTAGCCATCGCGAGATGGGCTATTATAGTATTATATAACTCAGGGAAAATTTATTATAAGAATTTACTACAACACAGAATTCTTCAATTGTGTATTTTAAATAGAAGTTGGGGTATTCCATACGATATTAAATATTTTACTAATATAGCAAAGGAGAGTATTACGCCTAAGGCACAGGAAGCAAGACTTGACGCAATTCATTACAACTCTCCATTCGCCTCTCTGTAATTTAATACTATTTTATATTTTGATTAAAAGTTGCTTTGCTGTCAGAAGAGTTTCTCAAATAAATTCACTTTTAATAAAAATTAAAATTTCCTCAGGTTACATCTCATAAAGTGCTGCACCTAGCACAGTAGCTAGCCTCGTGACAGGCTCGCATCTCTAGAAGCGCTCACAGACAAGAGTTGACGTCCTCGTTTGCCTCTCGTTTAGTTGCACTCGAAGGCATTGTCAAAGCATTCATTAAAAAGAAAGCAAGACCAAAGGCGAATACCATTGACAGGATACAAGGAGCCAGCGCATACGTGCGTGCCCGTTATAACTACTGTCTGTGTCTGTCTTTGTGTCTGAGTCTGAGTCTGTGTCGCTATCTCTTTCTATTTCGCTTTCAATCCCTCACTGTCTGTCTGTCTGTGTCTGAGTCTTCAATATGAATGGCAATGGCATTTGCCTTGATTGACGCACTGCTGACCGCAAATGAATGAATGTGTTTGGCTGCCTCTGCCTCTTCCTGTGCCTGTATCTATAGCTATCTCTATCTCTCACTATGTCAGTTGATTGCCTTTAAAGCTGACAGCTGCTTTATTTAGCTTTAAAGCCAGAAGACGTGGCTATTTAGCCATCGCCTGCACTTAATCAGAATCTCAGCGCTAAGTGCTTGATGGCTGCTTCTTTTACTCTTTATCGTTATCCTTATTGTTATTGTTATTGTTGTTGTTGCCGCATAATTGCAAAGCATCAATCTACAAATGAGCTTCATTAATTTGCCACATAAATAAGAACAATCAGAAGATTGAGCTTAAGCCCAAAGCTGATTCAACTGCTTGGAAATATTTGCTTGAATTTTGCTTCTGTCTATTCTCACACTCTTTAAGGTTGGCTTGAGCTGGGTATATTGAAGACAGAAGACAGCGAAGCCTTTAATCAATCAATTAAACTTAGTTCTCAATTTCAAAATGCTCACCTCCCATATAGGAAATTTGACTAAACGAAGACAGATCAAAACTTTAAATTTGATCAAATAACTAAGCTCAACTTACAGAGCATCTGTTAGTCAAGCACTCTTTGGCTAATACACATTCACTTTTTTAGCCCTGCGGCTTGACTTTGACTTTGATGTGCCACAAGGAGCACAAAGATTGAGTAGCGGCTCGTGCACAATGCGCGACGGCTGAGGCCGCAGCGCTTGACATTAAAGCTCATGAGAGACACACTCATACACACATAACATGCAGAGACACTCTGTTGGCCACGGTCAAAGTGGCAGTTGTTGTGCTAATACACACAGACCGGAAATGTAGCTGATCCCCCCTCCGACAACGGCCCACAGCAGCGCACATCTCTGCTGTCGCAGTGTCGTTTTATTGTTATTGTTGCAAAAGTCCTTGTTATTGTTATCGTTGCTGCTGCCGCCGCTGTCGCTGCTGTTGCTGCTGTTGCTGCTATGCGTGTTTGTGGCACTTTAGACAAAAATCGATTTGCCTATAAAATGTTTTACACACACACACACGACCACAATAAGGCCAAGCTGCATGTGTCGGCATGGCGTCTAAGCTCCAAGGCCCCCCAAAGCCACCCACCCACAGCTGTTCGTCTGTCCGCTCAGCCAGTATGTATGTCAGTCAACATGCTTGTGCGTAAGTCTGTGCATATGCTGGCTCAGCTGAGCTGCTGTGCTTACTGCCAAAAATTCACTGCTAATGTGTTGCCACCCCCTCCCCCCTCTTACTTTAACTCTAAGCCAACTGCCGGGCCGCACAGCCAACTGACATGCGGGCAACTGGGCAGCGATTGATTATGCACACATTGTGTGCTGGCTCGCTTCGGAACGCTTTCAACTCAATTTCGCTTGGGCCAAATTTAGCCCGGACGGTCAGTGCGAAAATAGCAGGGCTAAAAACGATTCTAATTTATAGAAATTTTGATTAGATCGATGACAAACTAAAGTGCTCAGTCACCTTCTATGCCAGCCCAATCGACTGATGAAGTCGGGTCGTTTTTGCATCTGGGAACATTGGTTGATTGGCGCGCAATTGCGTTTGGAATTGTCATCAGGGCCTCCGACCGAAATTGGGCCATAATTCTGCGACCTGGCTATGTCATTTGGGTCGCAGCTAGTGGCATGGAAAATGTGATATATTGACGCAGAGCGTTGGATTAGCTACACGCCTCGCCACGCTTTGCTTATTGCGCATACGCCTAGTGCGCCGTGGGCCCCTGTGAAATGCAAATGCTCAGCCCTGTAACATTTTTGCAACTTATTAACTTTGAAAGCGTGGCAGCTGCGCCAGCTGCTGACAAATCTTAAAGTATCATCAATCATCATTTTGCCCCATGCAGCTGGCAAAGGGATAGCGAAGCGAGCCCATTTTGTCAGCTAGGCGCAGATTTTCAATCTGATTCGACTACACACGCAATTGAATCCTTTTTGTTTG